TTTAGGATTCATAAGGACAAAATATTACAACCTCTTCCTCCAAGCTTCCCTAATTCATCTCTATTTTAGAATTGCTGCCCTGAAGTTAGAATATATCCAAGTCAAATATTCCTTTACCCTCCTTGAATTTACATATAAAACCTCACCAGTAAGCCCAGCCCCCTCTCCTCTCACTTTTGGGTCCACACTACCGGGTGTGTCTGTGCTGGCTGAGAGCTCCCAGGGCAGCACCCATTTAATCTACATTTGAGGTCTGTAACTCTCAGAATGGTAGTGAAGATTTCTGTGTGGCTGTGTTTAAAGAATTTACACACCAGGGCCTGCCCCTTTGTTTCTGTGAGTCCACCTAACTTCAGGGAAACTCTCTTTAATAAAACCAAGCAGCAGTGCCATTTCATAGCACTGTTCTAACTCTGAACGTGGGAACTGAAAATAAAACATATGTTTCTATTACAAAGCAATGAAGGCCATGTCTATTAAAAAAACTTTACAAAGAACAACCATCAAGACAAAGCAGTCATAAAACCAACCCCAGAAAAGGGTGACACCTTAGAGTGAATCTCACCCCAAATGTGCTGAATGATTCTTTTCTTTATCAAAGCGAGAACACAGAACCTATTACTGTAAGTTAAACTTCTGAAATATGTGCAACTTAATCCAGTTCAACACATATATGTGTACTTGCTGGCTGTATGGCCTGCATGGACTGTGAAATCTGCTACTTTATGGCTCTGCCTCCACAGCCAAATGCTTTCACATGTACTGTATAATCTGCTTCACGAAGCTAAGGAAGGCGCTGAAGACAAAGCAGAAAGTAAGAGGTTACCAGGTGTAGCAGGCTGACATTAAACCAATATGAGATGTTTGAAACATGCTCTTTTCATATAGTATAGATAGTATGTTACATTTGCACTTTAAAAGCTCATGTCAGAATAGAGATAAATTGGACATTTACAGAATTAAATTACTTATTAATTACAAAGCATAAAATAGTAACTTTGCATCGGACAAAACTGGTAGGCACCACTTTACCCAAATGATCAAAGTATCCCAACAGTATGGAGACAATGCGATATGATGAACTGCAACAACACCGCTTCCTGGCATCCACCAAAAGTGATCGCCTGATCTAATCTCAAGGAGCTGGACAAGTGCAAATCCAGGTACAGTCTACAAAATAACTGGCCTGTCCTCCTCAAAAACCTCAAGGTCAAGAAAAAGAAAGGTGGAAGAACTGCTCCAGATTTTAAAAGGCATGACAATTAAAGGGAACACAGATTGTGGGTCAAGGTTGAGAGGACTGCCTAGCCGATTTGGTTTAGTGGATAGAGCATCGGCCTGCAGACCGAAGGGTTCTGGGTTAGATTCCGGTGAAGGGCACTTCCTTGGTTGCAGGCTCCTCCCCAGCCCGAGCCCTGGTCAGGGCATGTATAGGAGGCAACCAATCGATGTGTTTCTCTCACATCGATGTTTCTCTCTGTCTATCTCTCTCTCTTCCACTCTTTCTAAAATCAATGGAAAAATATCCTCGGGTGAGGATTAAAAAAAATCATTTAAAAATGAAGAATGGTAAATGTAATGAATATAACAAAAATTCCATGATGCTCTTAACAAGAAATTGGAACCAGGCTTCCCTCCTCTTATTTGGTAGAGGAAATCATATGGTCCTGGTGATACACTCTTATCTGAGACTAGAGGCCTGGTGCACAAATTCATGCACGGGTGGGGTCACTCAGCCTGGCCAGCAGCCTGGGGGAGGGACCAAGGGAGGTTGGCTATGGGAGCGCACTGACCACCAAGGGGCAGCTCCTGCATTGAGCGTCTTCCCCATGGTGGTCAGTGCGTGTCATAGCAACTGGTCAACTGGTAGTTCAGTCGCTTAGACTTTTATATAGAGAGAGATTCCTAAAAACCCCAACTACATGTTCTTCACAAATGATGAGGATCTATCAAACTTTTATTTGTTCTAAACTTGTTTTATGTTTCATTTGGCAGAATCATTTCTGCATGATCATCTTTTTTTTGCCTTTTTGTGACAGTTAAAATCAGATTAAATTAAGCATTAAGGAAAACACTGGCAGGAACAAGTTACAAAAAAATATGAAGAGAATCTAAGGGGTAGAGGATTAGGCTCTCCATTATAGCTGGTGATGCTGGAAGTTTCCAGGATTATGAATTGGGGCAAATGGAAAAATAAAGATATACACAGACACATAAATGCTTCAGGTCTAAGTATTCATTTACTATCTTAAAAATTACTGAGCACCTTCTGTATGCCAGACACCATCCTAGGAGATCCAACACTCAACCAATCTGACATTTCTCATGGAGAAACATCATAGCTGCAGATTAGTATATAACATGAGGTGGTATTAGCAGCTATGACAAAAAGAAACCAAGACAATGAAGTGACAGGAGATAGTGAGGTCTGAGAAGGCTTCTCTATGCGAGTGCCATGTGAGCTGACAGCAGTGGGGGAGCAGGCAGGTGGACACCTTGGAGGTGGGAGGAGAGAGGTACCCACGGGTCACAGCCTGAGGTGATAGTCACGTGTGGACCGCTGGTGTCGGCTGACATAGACATCTGAGTGCGAGAAGGACCCATGAGAGGATTCCAAGTATGGAATCATTGATGTCTTAGCTACAAAGCAGAAAGCTGTCATTAGAGAAGAACAAACACAAGATCAGCTGGAAGCCGCGCAATGGCACAGGCACAGGGGGTGTGGGGTTGGGGCCAGAGCAGAAGCCGCAGGGGCTGAGGACGACGTTGTCAGATTCCGATTCTATTTTGAAAGAAAAGCTGACAGGATTGCTGAGGGGACTGAATGCAGTGTTTTGAAAGATAAAAGCCCAGGATGACAATATGGCTCTTACCTTCATCCACCCAGGGACACATGTACATTGGCTGAGGAAGAAAAGCCTGAGGAAGGAGCAAGAGTGCTGATGGCAAGAAGTCAAGAGTTGGATTTGATACACATTAGGTTTAAGATGTCTGTTAGTCATCAAAGCAGAGGTGAGCAGTGAGTCACCAGATGTGCAGGCTCTGGGGAGAAGCATTAATAAGTGCAATAGATATGGAGATGCAGATATATAAAGAAGAACTGCCTATGTGTTTGTGTGACGTGTGTGTACATACACACAATGAATGAAGGAAAATTCAAGAAGGAAAACACAGAGAAGGGAGAGAGAAACTTGAACACTGTATCTACGTCAACACCATTTGAAAATACCATTATGAGCATGTACTAGAGGCCTGCTGCACGAAATTTGTGCATGGGGGGGGGGGGGAGCCCTCAGCCCAGCCTGCACCCTCTCGCAGTCCAGGACCCCCTCTCAGGGATGTCCACCTGTTGGTTTAGGCCCGCTCCCACAAGGAGTCAGCAATAGGACATCCCTCTCACAGTCTGGGACCCCTTACTCCTTACAGCCCACCTGCACGCTGCTCCTTACCGCTTGGCTCACTGCTCCTTAGCGCTGCCACGGAGCCAGCCATGAGCCCAGCTTCTGGCTGAGCAGCACTTCCCCTGTGGGAGCACACTGACCACCAGGGAACAGCTCCTGCGTTGAGCATCTGCCCCCTGGTGGTCAGTGCACATCATAGCAACTGGTCGTTCTGGTCGTTCTGCCATAACAGTCACTTAGGTTTTTATTATATAGATTACTTTAGTAATAAAAAGGCAGCATTTCTTTTGTTTCCCTCAATAAAATAATAAGCTAATGAAAAATATTCAAGTCAGAAGTGCAGAAGTAATATAAGGTTGAGACAACACTCAAAGACAAGTACATTAATTGTGGGTAATTTCTTCCCAGCTCTTTTCCCCTGGACACACACACACACACGTGCACATGCACACACATGCACACACACAGTGATGTTTTAAGTGCAGTTTAGTTTTGCTTATTTGTTTTAACACACAAGATACTGAACTCAAAAGGACAACCATAAATGCATTTTTTGTTTGTTTGGGATGTATGTTTTTATGCTTTTACAACCACTTCACAGCCCACCTGCCTGGCATCTGAGGGCGGGTGCTTTCTGCCCCTGCCCCTCAGAGCTTCACAGCTGGGTCTCCTTTACACCATCATAAACAACATGTTTTAATTTCATAAAGAATTATTTGAATACTTAATTTTGAAATGGACATCATGATGTACAATTCCCTGTGCACATTTCTAGTGTAGTATCAAGCCTGTTAGAAAGCTCGCTTCAGCATCACCTCAAGGAGTCACTGTCTAGTCACCGAAGAGTGAAGACTCTCACTAGAAATGTCCTACCTTCAGTTCATTCAGTAAACACCTGTCATGAGCCAGTATGTGTGCTGTGTGCGTGCGTGGGAGGTGGGGGAGTGAGGGGAGGGTGACAGGCGCAAAACTTTTAAAGAAAATTTCAGACAGTGAAGCGTGCTATGGATAAAGTAAGAACACTTGAGACTGTAACTGGGAGGAAGGGGAGAGAGAGGAAATGCTATTTAGCCAGGTGTCCAGAGAAATCCTGCTGAGGAAATGACATTTGAGCCAAAGCCTCAGTGAAGAGGAGGAGGGATGCAAATACCCTAAAGAGCAACCCGAGTACCGGGAGGAGAAAATGCAGAAGCCCTGAGAAAGGATGGAGCACGGCAGGAGTGAGGACAGAGGGACGGCAGTCTGGCCGGGACATCTTGGGAAGGGAGGTTAAATCATAGATGGCTTCGATGCCATGGCAACGAATATGGCGTTCATCCTAATTGCAGTAAGAAATTATTATAAAGTCATGAAGAGGGTGGTGAAGTGTACGGATGCAGGACATATCTGAAGCAATATCCCTAGAACCTGCTGATGGAATCAAGATCCTGGGACTGTGTGGGCAACGACCAGCTTCTCCACCCGCACCATGAGTGACTTTTAGCCTCACCATGAACCTGCTCAGTACTCACCTTGCAGCACTGTGTACAGAGAGCGCAAGCAGCAACTGCGTGTAGAATCAGTAATGAAACATGCAGCATATCATACTCTCTCACTCACCCAAATTGGGATCAGGAGCCTGGCGTTTCTTAATTTTAGCTTCAGAAATAGCAGAATAATAGGCACAAGTCATCTTGATAAGCCACATTGCTCGAACCATTGGCACTGAATATTTAGCTAAATATGCAAAAACATCTTCTTTTTTACTAAGGATGGGAACCTGAAAAGAAATAACATATTTATAATAATCACATATTATGTTCACCATTAGCAAAAGAAAGAGACTATAAGTTCCTTCTGGTTATAAGAAAGTATATCCTTCTTTAAAACGTATATCCTTAATGGATTTTAAGCAAATTTTCACTAAGGAAATATAATCAAAACTATGTTTAGCACATTGGCAACACAATTTTATCAGCTGTGCTTTCTTCCTTATAAAAATAAATTACCTGCAAATTGTCAGATGCTGAAAGCTACTCATCTTGTCAACAAAATAGAAAAAAATAATAATTTCATGACAGTCCTCTGAGTTTATCCCAAAATTGAAACAGACAGGTCAAGTGAGAAACTGTCCCCACTCTACATTTCTTTCAAGAACACTTTTTTGTATAAAGTTTTTCAACTGTACCATTTCATAAGAATTAACAATTTCCACAAAGCTTTTAAAAGTGCCTTTAGCCCAAAATTTAAAATAGAGGCTAAAATGATGGAACAGTGAATTTGCCTAATAAACACTGAGCTAGAAATAGGTGGGTAATTAATTCGCTGATGGAAAGTAGGCACTTGAGGCAGTTAATTATTTCCTTTAGACCACAAAGGTACTATTTAGCAAATTAGTATCCCCATGTACCGCCACATGATTTGAAGGAGTTAATCCACTCTTAGAATTCCTCATAAATATCCTAGGACAACCTCGCTTATCTATATACATTTCTGAAACTAGAGTAAGAGTGGACAAAGGTTTACCAGCTGTGACACAGCAGGACCAAAGCAGTGACAGGGAGAGGCAGGCAGCTCCCCCACCCCCCTTCTCACAGGAGGGACGAGGGCCTCACTGTTCCATTCGTGGCACCAGCCTGTTTGGCTAAACCCATCCCTGCCAGGCTCTTCATTTATGAATGCGATAATACCAACCAGGTCCATCTCACTGAGTGGTTGGAAAAGTAAAGCAAAAGAATTACATGTATCAAAATTATAACAAGTTTTGTTTTTGTTGCCAATTCCAAAGATTTCTCCATGCCAGCCAAATTGTTTTCAAGCCATGAACGTGACCTCTCCTAAGAGGATCCTAAATACCACACCATGGACACTGAGCCTCAGTCTCTCTGCCCCACACTCTTGTTTGATTTTGTGCTGGAAATCAAGGCTTCAAACCAGCTAACTGGTTCATATAGCATAGCATTTTTCTCTTAGTTAACCAAATCCTTGTTTAGTCAGTGGATTTTTATATCATACATATGTTATAAATTTGATTATCCATATATTTGGTACAAAGTGTGATCCCAGAAATAAAAGATAAGTATTTTTTATAAAACAAAGCAATGTCATCTGACTTCACTTGAAATCACCTGGGTCTTACCAAAGAAACATCAAGCTGCTCCAACACTGAGGGAAAGCTGACTGCACTGAGAAGCAGTGTGTCCACATACTGTCTCTTATGGGCCCTTTAACAGACTTGTGGTCGTGTGCAGTTCCTGCCTTGGGTGCTGACTTGAGAACATACCCCTGCGAGGCACTACACGTCCAAAGCTGACTGAAAGGGAGCTGAAGAGTACAGGCCACAGCTGTAAGGCCTCCTTTCTGCAGACCACAGCAATACATTTTAACAAAATAATGTCTGGAGTCCTGGCCAGTATGCCCAGTGATACAGCACTGGCCTGCACACCTGAGGGTCTCGGGTTCAATTCCCGGTCAAGAGCATGTATCTTTGTTGCAGGTGTGTTCTCTGGCCTGAGTCAGGACATGTACGGAAGCAACCAATCGAAGAGACACATTGATGTTTCTCTCTCTCTCTCTTTCTTTCCTCCTCCCTCCCTTCCACTCTCCCTAAAAATCAATGGAAAAAATAATTTCAGGTGAGCATTAATTTAAAAAAATAATCTCTTGAAAATGTAACTTACAAGGCACATCTTTCAGGGAGCATAAGGCTCAGGTTTATTATCATTTATTTAGTTCAAGATCTGAGTGGCTGCTTCTCACTCAGAACACAGTTTGGGGGTCTGGCTGCCTCTTAATCAAACATACCAAAGATTATAATACCATGACCTAAAAAAATAGGCAAATGCAAAAAGTAAAGTTAGCATCTCCAAAGAAATGATAGCATCTTTTATAGATGCCTAAAGTATTTCTTTTGAATAGAAATTGACAGGAGGAAACAAAAAGTTTTTGAACAAGTGAAATGTTTAGATGAAATAGCAAACAAAACAGAGCCACAGGTCTTAGAATAACAGCAGAAGGCAAACCTCTAGCTTCACTCATTGCTCCTATGTCAGAGCCCTAAGAAATGGTTGACTCAAATCAAGGGCTTTAGGATGTAGAAGAATATACGTGAAGAAAGTTAATTAAGGAAAAGACACACATTGATGGATTTGTCAATATACAGCTTGGGCGAACTCAGGAAGGAAAATATATTTACCCCAAGTGAACTTCCTTACAGTGATGGATTCTATTTTGAACAAAGAAACCGTCTGACTTGAACTTGTAGCTGAACCTAGGCAATCCCCTGCAGCTGCTTGGTGTCTGAATCAAGCCAGACCTGCATGTAAGTACCAAAAGAAAACTAAGACACCTAGCATGTGATGGTTTTCCATCCTGGCATCACCTTTCCCCTTGGATAAATGCTACCATCAGCATCAGCGGCTCACTAAACAGTGGTATAGGCCAGAGGAAACCCATAGACCGCAGACACCTGAAGTGAATAGCTGATCAGAAATAGTGAACTGTGCGAGAGCCAGAAGGGTATCCCTAGGGGCCAAAAGTCTCCTTCTCCAAATCCATCCTTGAGCCTGAGTTAAAAGGCCCTTCGCAGGCCATTGTTTCCCTCTCCATGGCTACATACTTGCGAGCTGTGGAGCTTTATAGTAACAGAACCCAGGCCCAGAAACCTGATCCATCCCATATAGAACTATTCTGAACTCTCTATCAGAGCTGGAAGATGATTCATGATCTTAGCAGGAAAATGAAGATCTTCTGCATTAAGCCATCTCACAGATAAATACCAGAAATTAAAGAAGTGTTTAAACTTTCTAATATGAAGAACATGTGGAGAATGCATTCTTTCACCCAACTCAGAAAGAGATTTCACTGTCTCAAGAAGCTTATATGCTGGAGAAGGGAGGGGGACAAACTTTTGAAAAGCCCAAGAAATGAATACTTCAAAATACTTTCAATGGTTTTGTAAAGAAAACATCTTTGCCCTAGCCAGTTTGGTTCAGTGGATAGAGTGTCAGCCCACGGACTGAAAGGTCCTGGGCTTGATTCCAATCAAGAGCACATACCGGGTGCAGCTTGATCCCCGGCCCTGGTTGGGGCACATGCGGGAGGCAACCAATCAATGTGTCTCTCTCACATCCATGTTTCTCTCTGTCTCTCCCCGTCCTTTCCACTCTCTCTAAGAATCAATGGAAAAATATCCTCAGGTGAGGATTAACAAAAAAACAAAAACAAAAAAAGAAGAAAAATAAAATATTTTTTTAAATTAAATCTTTACTGTTCAGATTATTACAGTTGTTCCTCTTTTTTCCCCCCATAGCTCCCCTCCACCCGGTTCCCACCCCACTCTCTGCCCTTACCCCCCCCCCACTGTTCTCATCCATAGGTGTACCATTTTTGTCCAGTCTCTTCCCGCACCCCCCACACCCCTTTCCCCCTGAGAATTGTCCGTCCATTCCCTTTCTATGCCCCTGATTCTATTATATTCACCAGTTTATTCTGTTCATCAGATTATTTATTCACTTGATTTTTAGATTCACTTGTTGATAGATGTGTATTTGTTGTTCATAATTTGTATCTTTACCTTTCCTTCTTCTTCCTCTTCTTAAAGGATACCTTTCAGCATTTCATATAATACTGGTTTGGTGGTGATGAACTCCTTTAGCTTTTTCTTATCAGTGATGCTCTTTATCTGACCTTCAATTCTGAATGATAGCTTTGCTGGGTAAAGTAATCTTGGTTGTAGGTTCTTGGTATTCATCACTTTGAATATTTCTTGCCACTCCCTTCGGGCCTGCATAGTTTCTGTTGAGAAATCAGCTGACAGTCCTATGGGTACTCCCTTGTAGGTAACTAACTGTCATTCTCTTGCTGCTTTTAAGATTCTCTCTTTGTCTTTTGCTCTTGGCATTTTAATTATGATGTGTCTTGGTGTGGTCCTCTTTGGATTCCTTTTGTTTGGGGTTCTCTGCGCTTCCTGGACTTGTAAGTCTATTTCTTTCAACAGGTAGGGGAAGTTTTCTGTCATGAATTCTTCTAATAGGTTTTCAATATCTTGCTCTCTCTCTTCTTCTGGCACCCCCATAATTCAGATGTTGGTACACTTGAAGTTGTCCCAGAGGCTCCATACACTATCTTCATATTTTTGGATTCTTTTTTCTTTTTGCTTTTCCGGTTGGGTGTTTTTTGCTTCTTCGTATTTCAAATCTTTGACTTGATTCTTGCGATCTTCTAGTCTGCTGTTGGAACTCTGTATAATATCCTTTATTTCAGTCAGTGTATGCTTAATTTCTAGTTGGTCCTTTTTCATAACCTCAAGGGTCTCACTAGATTTCTTGAGGGTCTCACTAAATTTATTGGCGGTTTGTAGAAAATTCTTGAAAAACCTTACAAGTGTGGTTTTGAACTCTATATCCAGTAGTTTGCTTTCCTCCATTTCTGTCATTTGTGACCTGTTTCTTTGTCTCCACATTTTTTATGCTTCCCTGTTGCTGATAGAATGTCTTTCTGTGCTAGGTGTCCTATAGGGCCCAGTGGCTCAGCTTCCACAATTTCCTGAGGTGGACACTCTTGGTGCACCCCTTTGTGGGCTTTGTGCACAGTCTTGTTGTAGTTAAGCCTTGATTGTTGTAGGTATCACTGGGAGGAATTGACCTCCAGGCCAATTGGCTGTGAGAGTCAGCTGTGTCTGCAGTGGGAGAACTTCTGTGCTGGAGACACCCTTCTGGGGCAGGACTTGCTTCAGTGGGGCTTTGGTGTTCACTGAGCCTACCCCCTGAGTGTGTCCCTCATGGATCTGAGAAGTTCTAATCTGGATGGTCCCATTCTGACCACTGGGTACACTGCTCTTGGATATCTAAGGAGGTGCTAATTTAGCCTCTGCCTGAGGCTACCCAGCAGGAGCTATGGAGAGATCTGCAGATTCCTCTTCTTTGTTGGGGTTTGGAGGTGCCCAGATGAGGCCCAGCTGTGAAGCAATGCAAGCTGCTGTGGGGCCTTGGGCCTTCTTTTGGAAGTTCTGGGTCTCTCTGACCCAGTTGTAGTTTGTTAGGTAATTTTCAGATTGCAAAGGGCCAGGCCTTTCATATGCAAAAGTCTCTGCGCACAGCTTGAGTGGGGCGGGGTCTCAGGGAATCAACAGGGCGGAGCAATCAGCTATGACTGATCCTCAGTCCTACCCTACAAGGCCCCTGGGTCTCAGTGTCCCAGTAATCACTGCAAGCACCTCTGAGAGAAAGCCGCCCTCGAGTTTCGACCGATGCCAGATAGTCCAGTTTCTCCCTGTATGAGTCTGGGTCCCCAGAGACTCGCCCGGAACTGGAGTTCAGAGCAGTTGGGAGCTTGAGACTCCCTCCAGATTGAAAAAGACAACCGTGGCCTCAGTTGCCAGCCCTTTCCACATGCGCCTCCGTACCTCTGCACTTTACTTCCGCACCTCCTCTGAGTCTCAGTGTGCTTTTCTCTTTCCTTCCAGTTGTAGAATTTCCACTCAGCCAGCCTTCCTGTGGTTCTGGATGATGTCCGTTTTGTCTTTTAGTTGTATTTTTGAAGTAGTTGTGCGAGGCAGCAATTTCCAGTGTTTACCTATGCCGCCATCTTGGTTTCCTGTCAAGAAAATATTTTTAACCTTGCAAAGAATTAATGCCAGGACTTACCTGAGGAACACCTGACTTGGCCAGAGGAAGCTCCTAATAAAGAGAGAAGAACAATGGCTACTACACTGCACCCTAATCCATCTCCCATCTAAAAGATGAGACCACTGCACCCCTAAAGCAAGGGCCTCAATTCCTCACCAGTACTTCCTTCCAGGATACATCCACAAAATGTATTCCAAAGTTTTAAAAAGGAAAACCTAGAAAGAAAGATGTCAGTCTGGCCACGTAGGAGTTGGAGATACTATCTGACATGGAGGGTATGGACTATTGTTAGAAAGCCAATGACTATCGACTATGGAAGGATGTCCTTTCACTTGTCTGGCCTCCAGATACCTTGCATAGGCCACAGTGGGCCCAAGTGGTACATGTGTTATAGAATAGTAAGAAGCTAGGAAAATTCCAGGACAAGCGGAATAGGGAAACTGAGACAGACAGTTAAACAGTAGTTTGTGGCCACCTAATTAAATCCTATCTTCCCTAAACCAAGGACACTTAAGAGTAAATGGTTTGCACTTCTCCTCCCCAACCAGAGAGTAAGTAGCTTAAATCACCCTACTCTGGGAGACAAATAACAGAAATCCAATTAGTGCAGTTTGCCAGCCACACACAAGGACAGAGAGAATATATCTCATTTTGTACATCAGCATAAGGCTGATGAATAATCTATTGATCCTCTCAAAGACCCCCCTTAAATGCCCAGCCTTAAAAACCCCTAAAAATGAAGGTCCCAGCGCCCTCTCTCTCCAGGGAGCATGCCGGTGCCATTCCCTTCCCCCTCTATACTTCCCCTCCCTGGCCCCTCCTACTTCCCCCTATGTATCCCCTAACCCAGGGGTGGGCAAACTTTTTGACTCGAGGGCCACAATGGGTTCTTAAACTGGACCGGAGGGCCGGAACAAAAGCAGGGATGGAGTGTTTGTGTGAACTAATATAAATTCAAAGTAAACATCATTACATAAAAGGGTACGGTCTTTTTTTTTTTTTAGTTTTATTCATTTCAAACGGGCCGGATCTGGCCCGCGGGCCGTAGTTTGCCCACGGCTGCCCTAACCTCTAAGGCAACGGTCGGTCGGTCAGTGGGTCGCCAACCAGTGGTCTGTGGACCACTGGTGGTCCATGAGGTCTGAAAGGTTGACGATCACTGCTCTAAGGGACCCCATGAGACTTGCAACCAGGGGAGCAATGGGCAATGGCAGCTAGTCCTGGGTTAACCCCCTGAACCTGTCTCCAAGGCCCCCTTTTCTCTGACTTCCCAGTGATCTAAGTCAGCCCAGCCTAGGCTCTCCTGTTCCTTCTTCTAAGCCCTCCCTTGTTTCACTGTCCTAAGTGTGGTTTTGCTACAGTCAATAAATTCTTGCTTGCTTTTCTACACTTTGTGTCTTGATTGAAATTTTTCTTTCAAGAAGACAAGAACCGAGGTCTCTCCCCCCCCCACCCCCTCCACCCCCACCCATAGCACATGATCACCACTGGAAAAGAAATGCCACATGATTCAGGCTGTGTTGAGACAGGCACTACCTGAGTAGCAAGAGGTGGTTATGCTGACTGTTGTGCTTTTCAAGGATTTAGTTGCCTTTAACCACTGAAATCCATGGAAGGCAACACAAAGCTATGACTCTCAGGCAAAATAAAGGCAGTGGGAGCTGTGGGTACTCTTTTCAAAGAGCTGCTTTAGGAACGAACAAAGGAGCTCTCCTCTGAGGTCTGCACCAAGCCAGACAAAGAAATCTTACCATCAGGAGCGAAGATGGGCACCCTTAAAACTAAAGGGTTTCAGGGGAGATGAGAATGCTCTGTTTGCTAGTGAAATCAATCATTAACACAATTTTAAAACAAAAAGAGGCCATCAAGAATGCTAATGTTGCTAAGGGTATGAAAGAAACAATGATCACAGGCAACTGAAGAGGTAGAAAACCTGTTGTTGATTTGGATAAAGGCAAAGCAGTTTAGCCAGTTCGGAGGCAGTGATATATGAACAAGCAAAGATGCTGCATTAGACATGCATTGTTTACAAGAAAGGGTAAAACGGGGAATCATTTGGGGGTCTGGAATGGATTGATTCCATTTACATTATTTCTAATGGGGAAAAAAATGATTCCATTTTCAAACAAATTACTTCTGAAATAGCCTTCTGGAACAAATTAAGACCGAGAACCGAGGTTCCACTGTATATACTTGAACATTATCTCAAACATCTTCATTTCTATAAGACCATAATTAAAACAATGTAAGAAAAACTTATACCTTTTTTGCCAAAATAGCAAGTGGCTTATTTCCTGCTAATTCAGAGAACCAACTATGAATTGCACTCTGCGATCGAGGGGTAACCAGCCAATAATTATCTTTAGCATTAACTTGTGGTTTCTTCTTTCCGGTGTCCTGGAAAGTGTTCAGCTTTAGTTTCTCAGCTAATATGCTGCTAAAATAAGCTCCAATCTGAGGAAACAAGAGAAAAAATTTTAAAGAAAATAATTATGTTAGTAATGTATATTAGTATTTTATCTTTATCTTCAAACAGCCCATCAGACAATAAAGTGGCAATTTAAGTCCTTGAAGTCAAGAGTTGTGATTTCCTTGACTAACATAATGCAAAAACTGCCACAGCACCTTTGTTCTAATGAACAAGTAGTTCAAGAAAAAGAGAAGACCTTCGAAATCCTGTTAAGATTAAATGAATTGCATCCTGAATGTCAAGGGAATGGGTTCTGCTTTAATCTTCGGCTGTACTTTCCTTTTTCATACTGCACACCCATTGAAGAGAGTATTTTTCCTGAGAGGAGTTGCACAGAAAGCCTAGTAATCAATCACACCATAATTATTCTTTTTCTTGTTTCATCTTAATAGCATGTATTTTTGGAAAGCAAACTCTGTATTTACACTCAGTGCTTTTTTAAAAAAGAATCTAGAGAAATTTAATTTATTTAAATGGAAAATTACAAGAGTCAATTAAATTAACTATTCAACATTTTAGATTGGGCTGCCAATTTCATGAGCACAAGTGTTTCAAGAGAACGCTACTGTCACCTGATCTAAAAGGAGCAAAGCAGCAAAGGAAGCTCCTGTGATTACTGCAGCATTTTCATATCAACCAAATTAAAAGAGGACAAAGGAAGAAGAAAGACAACAAAGAAGGAGATAAAATAGTATCTAAAAATTCAACAAATCGCCCTAGCCAGTTTCGCTCAATGGATAGAGCATCGGCCTGCGGACTGAAGGGTCCCGGGTTCAATTCCGGTCAAGGGCACATGCCCAGGTTGTGGGCTTGATCCCCAGTAGGGGGCTTTCAGGAGGCAGCCAATCAATAATTCTCTCTCATCATTGATGTTTCTATCTCTCCCTTCCTCTCTGAAATCAATAAAAATATATTTTAAAAAAATTAAAAGAATTATATCTTTATATCTAATTATTACATAACCACACAGAAAAAAGCACACATTTAATTCAAGAAAATTTTAATACAACATTCTGATTGTATATTTTTATTTTTCAGATATTTATTATTTCTTCAAATTTGTTGTTTACCAGGAGTGACTGAAATAAAAAATATAATTGAGTCCCATCATCATCATGGAAATGGATTTAAGAGAAAACTGGTCAGATCAATATTATTGCTTCCCACTTGGAATCAGTAAATAGTTGCCACTGATAGCGCACAGACTGCCAAGAATGCTCAAGATCTATTTATATAAAAACCCTGGGTGTAACGCGTCACATCCGAGGCTCCACCAACCGGAAGGAAGTGAGTCCTGCAGGGGTAGTCTTGGCAACGGCTGCGCCCTCCCAGAGCTGCTTCCCTCCAGGCCTGAGGGAAGAGCCCACCCTCGGAGCGCCCGGAGCGCCAGGAGCACCAGCAGCAGTCAGTCCTGGGTTGCTGAGGCGAAGGCCACTGCGTGGTGGAACTCTGGGTCTGGCCCAACAGGGAGCGTAGCCGGCCTTCAAACCAGACCCTGACATTAGGGAGGAGGGAGCCCCATTCCTCACAAAATCCGCTGTTGGATAGCTTGCTGTCAGTGGCCTGCCAGCCAGGAACCCCATTCACCTGCACCCCGGACGCTGACAGGAGGGAGGAGGGAGCCCCATTCCTCACGGAATTGACAGGTGCCCAGCTTGCTGTCCGGGGCCTGCCAGCTAGGAATCCTATTCACCTGCATATCTGTATAAAGTTTTAATACATTATATTAGAAGTCGTGGTGGTACTGTTTTACCCACAATGTCTACAGGAATTGCTGCAAATTTACTTCTTGGTGGAAGAACCTTTCATTCCCAATATAAATTACCAATTCCATTAAAGGAAACTTCAATTTCTAGACTCGATATAAACAGTGAAGTTGCTAAAACTATTAAAAAAGGCCCAACTTCTCATTATTGATGAATGCATCATGGCATCCAGTCATGCTATAAACGCCATAGACAGATTACTAAGAGAAATTATGAATTTGAATGTGGTATTTGGTGGGAAAGTTCTCCTTCTTGGAGGGGATTTTCGACAATGTCTCAGTATTGTACCACATGCTATGTGATCGGCCATAGTACAAACAAGTTTATAGTACTGTAATGTTTGGGGATGTTTCAGAAAGTTGTCTCTTACAACAAATATGAGATCAGAGGATTCTGCTTATAGTGAATGGTTAGTAAAACTTGGAGATGGCAAACTTGATAGCAGTTTTCATTTAGGAATGGATATTATTGAACTCCCCTATGAAATGATTTGTAATGGATCTATTATTGAAGCTGCCTTTGGAAATAGTATATCTATAGATAATATTAAAAATATATCTAGCCCTAACTGGTTTGGCTCAGTGGATAGAGCGTCGGCCTGCAGACTGAAAGATCCCAGGTTCGATTCCAGCCAAGGGCATGTACCTTGGTTGCGGGCACATCCCCAGTAGGAGGTGTGCAGGAGGCAGCTGATCAATGTTCCTCTCTCACTAACTCTCTATCCCTCTCCCTTCCTCTCTGTGAAAAATCAAATATATATATATATATATATATATATATATATATATATATATATATGCAATTCTTTGTCCAAAAAATGGGCACATTAAAAAATTAAATGAAGAAATTTCAGATATACTTGATGGAGATTTTCACATATATTTGAGTGATGATTCCATTGATTCAACAGATGATGCTGAAAAGGAAAATTTTGCCATCGAATTTCTTAATAGTATTACTTCTTCGGGAATGACGTGTCATAAATTAAAATTGAAAGTGGGTGCAATCATCATGCTATTGAGAAATCTTAATAGTAAATGGGGTCTTTGTAATGGTACCTATTTATTATCAAAAGATTATGACCTAACATTATCGAAGCTGAAGTATTAACAGGATCTGCAGAGGGAGAGGTTGTTCTTATTCCAAGAATGATTTGTCCCCATCTGACACTGGGCTCCCATTTAAATTGATTCGACGACAGTTTCCCGTGATGCCAGCATTTGCGATGACTGTTAATAAATCACAAGGGCCAAAGCCGGTTTGGCTCAGTGGATAGAGCGTCGGCCTGCGGACTGAAGGGTCCCAGGTTCGATTCCGGTCAGGGGCATGTGCCTTGGTTGTGGGCATATCCCTGGTGGGGGATGTGCAGGAGGCAGCTGGTCGATGTTTCTCTCTCATCGATGTTTCTGGCTCTCTATCCCTTTCCCTTCCTCTCTGTAAAAAACCAATAAAATATATTTAAAAAATAAATAAATAAATAATAAAAATAAATAAATAAATCACAAGGACAAACTCTAGACAGAGTAGGAATATTCCTACTTAAACCCGTTTTCACACATGGTCAGTTACATGTTGCTTTCTCTTGAGTTCAAAGAGCATGTGATGTTAAAGTTAAAGTTCTAAATACTTCATCACAAGGGAAATTAGTCAAGCACTCTGAAAGTGTTTCTACTCTTAATGTGGTGTACAGGGAGATATCAGAATAAGTTTAATCACTTTATCAGTCGTTGTTTGCATCACTGTTGTTTTTACATCATGTTTTTGTTGTTTTATATCATGTTTTTGTTGTTTTCATATCATGTTTTTGTTGTTTTTATATCATGCCTCTGTTGTATCCTTTTGTTATTGTTTATTTATTAATAAATTTATATATTATTTTCATATACATTTTACTAATTTCCTTTCATCTCTCACACTTCTATTATAGAGAAAGGGCAAATAGCAATATTAAAATATTTCCTCTAATAAATTCCCTTTTAATGTGCACAAATTTCGTGCACCAGGCCACTAGTATGCTACATAATACGGCAGGCCTGCTCACGGGGGTGGGGGACTAGGAAATAATGTATAGGAACTTCTTGATTTCATCGTACAAGACAAGTACAAAAGCACCACCCATGCCTCTGAGAATACTAGACGACGCATCCTTGTAAAAGCTTTGCCTCCTTAGTCAGGAGCAATCTTCCTCCAGCAGCCCAGCACTCTGTGAACATGACATTAGTTCCTCCCTGCTGACTGCATCATCAGGCTGCAAGGAACCTTGTGAAACAGAGATGAAGTCACCCCTGCCATCGCCAGGGCAGGACTGTGCAGTGACCAGCTGAGGAAGACGTGTGCATTCTGGAGATCTGAAGCATTTCCTTTGCAGTGCCACAGGTGCCGAAGCAGGCAGCTCGGTGGGTGACAGTACCCTACAGTCACCCTGAAGCTCTGTACAACCCTTAATCTCACTGGATTTGGAGATCTGAAACAGGCAGTCACCAGAGACTCTGACTTCCCTCTCACTCCAGCTTTGCCCACATCAGCTGCTAGACCAGTACGGGCAAAACCAAGGTACGCAAAACACAAAGGGAGGAGGGGGGAGCCCAGTGGCACCACCTGATGCCGATTCCCTGCAAGTAGCTCCAGAATTGGGTTCTCGTGTCCACAGCTCCCAGGACAATGTGCTTGTATTTATCTTCAGAGACAAAGTTGAGAGCCCGAGCGGGGAAGGATGTATTACCAGCCAGAAGGACAGGGCTCCCTGCTCCCTGCGGATGGGACCCAGGTAGCCTACAATGCCCTGGCATTTGCTTATCTGCCGGGACTTGCTGACAGGGTGCAACTGCAGCCACAGCTCCTCCCGCTCCGTGGGGGATACCACCGGCTGGGAGATGGCCACAGCTGCTCCACCCGACAGGAAGTCCTTAATGAAGAACACAGCGCATCTATGATACTGAAAGGAGAGAAGCGGGAAACTGCAGGACTGGGCTTGTAACCAGCTGGGGACTCTAGTTGGCTGTATACTCTTAATGAAAGTTAGTGTAAGAAGAGAAGTATTGTAGAAAAATTGAAATTTTTACATAATAATTTTGTTATTGGAGACTTCGGTATAGTTTATTCTAAAACTTTTTTATGTGTATTGCAAGATAGAGTAAATGAATAAATATATTGATATCTATTGCTAAGATGGAGGATTCTCACTTTGGGAGAAAGGAGATACACAGATGAAACAGGAAAAGAAAAAACCCTGTGGTATTGAGTTAGAACTGATGGAAGGGAGCAGAGGAGGAAGAGAAGGAGTAGGGAGTTGAGGGAAGGGGGAGGCAGGAAGGAAGAAGGGGGAGAAAGGAGGGAAGGAGGGAGTGAGGGAGGAATGAAAAGAGGGGAAAAAAGAAATTGAACCGTGTTTCCCATCTCTGTCCACTTAAAGGGCCTAGAAGTCATGATACTCCAGTAGCAAGACCATGCCAAGCATTCAGATATGAGCTGGGGCAGGGAAAGGACATGAACCTGGAATATGTTACTGTGTCAAACTGAGGAAGTGCTCAAAAGAAAGGATCTGAGAGGCAGGTTAAAGGCACCCCACTGTCCAAATGTAAGACAATTTAGCATCAAAAAGAAAAATGAAAATAATACATCAGATTTAAAGAGAATCCAGGGGTTAAAAGTGATACTAATAAATGTGGTGTCCTTTACAAATGAATGCCAAGTAATAAATGTATGAGGAATAATAACTAGAAAACCAGCATTTTGCATCCACGAGCAAAAAAATCACTCAGCAAAAATCATCAATTGATCTAAAATCATAGGATGAAATTCTATTGGGGAATAGGATATTCATATGGTCTCAAAATATCAATATATAGTGTCTACTACGAGAAAAAGATAACTACTGTTACAATGTACAGCAAGCATGTCAAACTCATGGCCCACAGGCTGCATGCAGCCCACAATGAATATTTTTGCAGCCCAGCCAATATGAAGGTATGTAAGAAATGTTTTAATAAAAATTTTGTAACTTAATTTACAATATCCTGTTATACATAATTATTAATAATGAACTACAACATTCGCTAATGACTGATTATTATAATCGTGGTGCATTCATTTCCTTTACGCGCCTTATGTGCCTTATGCGCAGGCGCACCATTTCTCTCCACTAATACTAGCAGTGAATATTTTTAGCAGCCGATTGCCACATCATTAGTCTTGTACTGATTTGTTTGGTGTGCACAAGAGGAAATATTTCACTTTCGGAGAACAAGAAAAATAGGTTTATTTGCATTACACTTATTAATTTGTGCAGTTATTCAGTGTCTGGTAAGTTAATGTTCAAAAAAAAATATTAATTTTTCTTAAAATGTTCTATTGTTTTATGTTAAGGATTACTCATTTATTTCAGCCCTTTGTATTCAGCATGTCTCTATCAAAATAAGCCTACGTTTCTATGAAAATTGAAGCTTTTGTTTTCTTGCCATCCACATAAACTTAAACCTTGTTTATTTGGCCCGTGATAGCCTTTGAGTTTGACATCTTGATGTACAGAGATGCAGACTCCACCCTAAGTGATCAAACAGTGTAACCCAGCGGTTCTCAACCTGTGGGTCGCGACCCCTTTGGAGGTCGAATGACCCTTTCACAGGGGTCGCCTAAGACCATCCTGCATATCAGATATTTACATTACGAGTCATAACAGTAGCAACATTACAGTTATGAAGTAGCAATGAAAATAATTTTATGGTTGGGTCACAACATGAGGAACTGTATTTAAAGGGCCAGAAGGTTGAGAACCACTGGTATAACCGATAACAGAGCAAACCGGTATTGCTTGCTCCTGATGTGATGCAAGTGATGCAACGTAGTATTCCTGCCCAAAGTATTCGACCTGAATCCCGTCATGAGAAAACAACAAGGAAAATCTAGAATAAAGGCCTAAAATACAAGAAAAATAACTAGACTCTTCTAAGATGGCATTCCTGAAAGCCCCCCAAAAATACAACAACAGAACAAGGAAAGCTGGAGAGCAGAGCTGAAGATTAGAAGAGACTAAGGCAGTGGTTCTCAACCTTCTGGCCCTTTAAATACAGTTCCTCATGTTGTGACCCAACCATAAAATTATTTTCGTTGCTACTTCATAACTGTAATGTTGCTACTGTTATGACTCGTAATGTAAATATCTGATATGCAGGATGGTCTTAGGCGACCCCTGTGAAAGGGTCGTTCGACCGCCAAAGGGGTCGCGACCCACAGGTTGAGAACCGCTGGACTAAGGGGACAGGACAACCTGACTGGATCCTAGGACAGGACAGCTTACAGGATATTTGGAGGAATTTGAAAATGGATTGTGGTTTAAACAACAGTACTTTATCAACATTAACTACCCAGGGAATCACATACACATACTTTTCCAGAAGTTCGGGGACATAGATAATTAGCATACCTTTGATGGATTAATTACAATATTTCTGGCTGAGCCATGTTCGTCTCCCGTAAAGGCCGGCTGATTGCTGAAGCCTTGCTTTACATTCACAGCAGTGAGTTCATCCTGGTCAAGAAAAGGTATTGATTAATGAGAAGGATGTAAAAGCTCCAACTTAACCCCTCCTACTACAGCCTAGCGACTAACTTTGCTGTACTCTGTTGAATGCACACCAAAAGAAGCAAAAATTAAAGTTTAAAAACCAATATATAAATGTGTAGAAAGAGATCAAGTGAACGTGGCAAAATGTGGCAAAATGTTGACAATTATAGACTCTAGCTGTATGGTACATGGGTGTTCCTTATACTATTCTTTTAACTTTTCTGTAAGTTTGAAAATTTTTAACCAGTTAAGTTGGGAGAAGGTAATGAGCAAAAATCCCCCCCCCACACAAACACATACATCATAGGATTTTCAAACGAGAATTGTTTCTAGAGAACATAGTTTGAGTCTTCCTTTCTTGCCAGCCCCTAGACACACCCCTATTTTATATTCAAGAACACCGACTCACTCAACTAACCCAAAACCCCACAGCAAGCTAAAGACAGAAATGAAAGGTTCTTAGGCACAGCTCTGTGATAACCACACAACACAATGACCTGCAACTAAAGGAATGTTTGCAACTTGCAAAGTTCTCTCATACATCTTGGCTCACTTGATCTTACCAATTCTGTGGCAGACAGCAGGTGTGGGTCTTCATGCCTATTTACAGGTGAGAAGAGTGAGGTTCACTAAGCTAGTGCCAACACTGGAATACTGCCTTTCAATCCTAGACTAGGAAGATAACTTTCCCTGACACCATGCCACGAAGTATAAATGCCACATAAAAATGTGGTCTAAAAATACAGAGCTACCACTTGTACTCTCCTTAAAAAGATCTCTTCCTGGTAGACACAGGAACTTTTCTTCCCAAGGTCACACACATCAAAACTAGCCCAGGCTGCAAAAACGAAAACCTTGCCCCTGCCACATCACTGCGTTATAGAGTTCCTAAAACACACATTGAAAGTATAAAAGGGAAAGGTTTGAGTAAATGAAGCTACTTTCTGCTCCCCTCACTCCAAGCCAAGAAATGGTCTTAGTAACCAACAGGGTAATGCTGTCCACAGCACAAGAATGAGAATATATACTTATTCCTCAAAAGTAATTGCTCCAAGTGTAAAATGAAAAAAAAAAAATCAGCTGACCAAAATCACCACTGTGGTTAGGCAGGAAGCTTCAGAACAAAATAGTTCATAACTATTCACAGCATGTGAACTGAGATGAAAACTGAAGTGTCCCCGAGACCTGCCATGCCACGTTACCTAACTGTGTGTGCTCTACCTAATACTTCAGTGAGCCACTGCCCTGGTGAGTTTTCAAAAGAGCCTGCTACAGGAAATGCAGCTCTGTGACAACCAAGTATCCTCCAAGCACATGAGGTGACTGGAGTAACAATCTGCACAGAAAATGACTGCACACACATCAGAAGACACCTCAAACTGACTACACATTTTCAAGTCAATTATTTGAAAATCTAGGGTCAAACTACATGACGATTTCAGTAGTCTCAGAGTCTAAGAATGAAGGGGCACAAATGAGATCGTGAGAGAAAAGGGATGGGAAAATTGAATCTTATCTTTCTTTTACCATCACATTATTACAAGAAACTTTAATTGAGTAACAGCATATGTTTTTAATAAAAAATATGTCTGGCTTAATCAAGAGGAGATGTGTGAGGCTTAAGGACCAGATAGTTTCATTTAGTGCTGCTTAACTTTCTATTCTAAACTAGCACCAGCTCAGTTAGCTGCCTGTTGTATGTGACTGCTAACCACTGGCCTGGAGAGACATGCCCTGTATGCATGCACACACAAAGCCCCAGAAGGAAAAGCATGGAACCATGATTAGATCTCTCTCAACCACATCAGATTTTCCTCCAACAAGGATTCACACAGGTGCTACTGGAAGCCTTGAATCCTGAGAACTTTTTAATCTGGTATTCTAAATTGCACCAAAATGCATCCAGAATCTGCCCACTAGTCACTACCACCTCAGGCCAGGACCACCACCAGAATCTCAGGCTTGGACATTGCAGTAGCTCCTAACCTTGTATCTATCTGGTCTCCCCGCTGCTTCCACCCTTGCCCCCTGCAGACCATTTTCAACACAGCAGCCACATGGTTCTAAAAACATGAGAGCCTGTCACTCCTGCTCAAAATCTGCCTTAACTCCCCAACTCAGAGTATAAGCAAAGGTCCTATGATGGCCTACAAGCCCCTATGTGATCTGGTCCCTATTACCTTTCTGAGCTCATTCCTACACACTTCCCCTTTGCTCACTCTACTCCAGCCATGCGGTTCTCATTGCAGTTTCTTCCTCCAAAATGCCAGGTGAATGGGCCATTGCACTGTCTGTTCCTGTGCCTGGACTGCTCTTTCTCATGGGATCCACATGGGCAACTCCATCACCACCTTAAGTCTTTGCTCAAATTTCACATTCTCAGTGAGAAATTCTGATGACCCTATTTAAAACTAGAACTGCTCACCCTACTCCCTTCATACCAACACCCCTAATCTTCCAATAATCCATAGCACTCATCACCTAAAACACCATGTAACTGACTTACAACAAGTATTGTCTGTTTACCCTACCAGAAGGTAAGCCCCATGGGGCCAAGGATCTTTATTTTATTCACAGATTCATGCCAAGCACATAAAGCTGTGCCTGGCACACAGCACACACAGGCTTTCAACAGTCGTTGAAAGAATAAATAAGTGAACGATAAATCTGTTTGAATACTTAACATAATAAGTATATTCTGAATCACTACTCCATCCATGACTTTGGGGTCTGTAATTGTCCAATTAATTTAACAAGGAGGTCATTAGAGTGAGGTGGCTCTAATGTCCTGGCACCTACATAAGAAAACCAAACTAAGCCTCTAAATGCCTCAATGTTACAAAAGCAGAACCTAATGATGGGTCATCACAAACAGCCAACTAGGATTTAAACTACAGACAATCAATCATTTTTTTACTTTGCTTCTACCTTTTCTTTATAAAGGTTTTTTCTCAGCTCCAGACAATGGAGCACTTCTAACCACTTCTGGTTTGGTGCTGCCTGATTTAAATTGAGTTTTGCTCAAAGAAACTCCTGAAGTTGTAATATGCCTCAGTTTATCTTTCAACTGTTCTGATGTCAGACATGGGACCCAAAGGAGACCTTCAACAGTCCCCAAGAACAAGAAGCAGCCAGGTAAGGTTGCCCACTGAGTCCGCCTAGCTCAATGCTTTCTCCCTGCATCTGGAGTGTGCAGGTATCTGTGATCCAAAACTTTTGCATTTAAAAGAGCTCTCCAAATTTATCTAAGCATTTCTTTCATCAGACTGGGTCTGAGGCCAGCCAATTTAACAGAAACTAGACTGGATCCAACTTAGAACCCAGATTGGTTCTGAGGTCTTCCTGGGTCCAACTTAAGATGGACTGGGTCCAGGGTAAGGCCTCAAGTATCAAGAATGACAAAAAGAGGAAAATTTATCTCTCTGGCTCCACATAATCTGGAACTCCTCCATCTGGGATGCCAGCAACTACATGTATAAAAACTGGTCCCAGATACTGTATTTTCTGAATCAGTGGGTTAACCTTACCAAAGATAATCTGGAATTATCTTGGCCAAGTAGGGAACTTTTAACCTAGACAGGCTTATCCATTCACAAGATGCTCTAGAAAAAAAGGGTCAAATTTCCCCACAAAAAAAAAACAGGATGCATTTTTATTGGTATGCAGCAGCTTATAAGAAACTAAATGAATCAAAAATGCCCTGGATTCCAAAATAGCAGCAGAGTAAGTGAAAACTACACTGTCACTCTCCCAGGACCAAACTGGAAATGTAACTAAAATACAGAAATACCACCCTAAAATATCAACTGAAGACTAGCTGGAGAGAACCCTGATAACCAAGGACAGAAAGTGGAGACCACATAGCCTCTAGTAGGAAGTGCAAAGGTGCAAAGAGGCTGGCCAGGCTCCCATAGATAGGAGCTGAAGTTCTGAAGGGATACCTCAGCTATTCACCTGTGGGGGATTAGACCTCAAGCTGAGTTCCCATCTCAGAACACCAGAAATGAGAAAGGTGCCCACATAGCATTTACCTATGAAAAGCCGAAGGGTTGCTATCTGCCAGGGAGGGAAGGCTGGAAATGCAGGCACCCTTTTAAAGAGCCAACACAAAAAATTTTGTGTGCAACTACTCACCTTGGGCTCTGGCAGAAGGAGGGCAGAGTGGACTGGAGCTGTGTGAGCACAAGCCAGGATTGGAGGTTCTGGGGTTGGAGCTTGGAAGGCAGCCACCCCCCAGTTTCTGGTGCTATGTCATTCCCTCACATTGGGCAGGAAATCTTTCTCCCATGAACCTTTGCTATGCAAGGGGTTTATGCCTGAGGGGAAGTCAGCTGACCCACCCTATTCGAAGACCTCTTGGTTCATAGCCTGAGCCTAATCAAGACTGAATCTCAATAGGACTGCAGGCAGAGTAGGACCTCTGGAAGCTTTGAGTCTTTGCCTTATCTAATCCAGGGCAAGGGGCTAGGAAAAGCAGAACCTGGTGCACATCTTGGTCCTTTCCAAAGGCAAAAAGAACCAGTAGAGGGAGGTACAAGCTATGGATTGCTGATAGCTCCAAAAAGGGTACTCAAGGCCAGTCACAAAAAGGGTCTGACATTGTCCTGCACTAGAGATTGGGAAGAGTAGCAGATCCACCTAATACACAGACACAAACCCAAACAGGAAGCCAAAATGGGGAGACAAAAAAAAAAAAGTCCCAAATGAAAACAAGAGAATTCTCCAGGAGAAGAGCTAAATGAAATGGAGATAAGTAATTTATCAGACATAGCGTTAAGAATAATGATGGCAGGAGAAACCAAGATGGCGGCATAGGTAAACACCGGAGTTTGCTGCCTCGAACAACCACTTCAAAAATACAACTAAAAGACGGACCGGACATCACCCAGAACCACAGGAAGGCTGGCTGAGGAGGGACTCTTCAACTAGAAGGAAAAACAACAGCATTACGAGGCTTAGAGGAG